CGTCGGTCGTGCTGGCATACACGGATATAGGTGGTCCAAATTTCCACACCGCTGACGGTCTCGGCTAACGTGGGTTGCACAAGATAACACACCCCCTGGACGGATTTTCAGAGCTTCCGTCCTTTGCAGCATAATCGGCGACGGTGACGAAAATGGCGGCGTTGGGACTGCCTCGTCGAGAGCTTTCCGCAAATGTGTTATTTGACGGTGGCATCCCCTTCGTCGTGGAGTAGTCGAGGTTTGAAATTCGGTCCAGGGGGTATGACATCTAATGCAACCTAAGGTAAACGACCTCTCGTGCCACTGCAGTTGCGTGCTCGCTTGGAATACCACCCCCAAGGTAGATGTGCCGTACCTGGGATCGCTGGCTTCATTCACACAGTACGTGCCTCCCCACTTGCGCTCGCTTTGTTTTGGTTCATCCCCTCCCCAAAAAAAACACGATCGCATGACAACAAGCAGTTCCAGCCAAGGCCAAGATTACCTCGCTCCGCGTCTACCCCGTCAAGTCTTGCGCCGGGCACGAAGTGCAGCAGGCCGCTTTGGGAGACCGTGGCCTCGAGATGGACAGGCTGTGGATGATCGTCGACGGGCGCGGGCGCTTCATGTCCCAGCGGCGCTTTTCCAAGCTGGCGCTCATCTCGCCGTCTCTACCTAAGACCAAAGACGAGGTGGGTGCGGTGAGGATGATGCTGAAAGCGTCCGTACGATGTGTGAGCAATCAGTAATCGGTGCTGTTGTGTGTCTTGTTCGGTAGCCTTCCTTGCGGCGAGGACGGCACGCATGCGGTTCACATGTAAGATGACACGCATCGGACGTTTGTAGTTGCACTCTTACGACGGCGATTAACTGCAGCTAGGTATGCAACGGTGTGTGCCCTGTTGTACCGTCGGCAAGATGACGAGAGGCAGATGGTTTACTACGCGTTACAGAGCGATGATCGCATTGAAGAAATTCGCAAGTTCTCACAAATCTCACAAGTCAGGTCAAAGTCTGTTTGTCGAATTCGTAGTATGCGATGCTCGCAAACTCTATACGCCAAGTAGATTCCAGCAACGCTTGACACATGCAACGGAGCCTATCGCACTGCTCATTGCACCAATCACCTCCAACGATACTACGCCGCTCGCCTTGCCTCCCTCCAACGAATCATCGCCCTCTGTTTTGTTCACCAAAACGTCAACAACAAAAAAAATAGCCCCTAGTTCTGTCAGCGCCGGGGGTGGCCTCTCTGGAGGTGCCGGTGGTGCGCAAGGTCGGTGCCGGCGGCCCAGCGGCAGGCGGAGAGCTTGTCGAAGTCGGGGTTTGGAAGGACACGTGCCAAGCGATTGACCAGGGGGACGCCGCGGCTTCGTGGCTGCAAGCTTTCTTGGGAATGGTGAGTCGAGTGAGGGAAGACATGGTGTTCCGGGCGTGTGGATGTGTGTGGTAACGGCAAAGAAACGTTTTGGCTTCGACTAGCAGCCCTCTTTTTATTGTTGTAAGCATGTGGAGGTTTGGGGCGAAATGAATCCTAGGAGATAGTGCTGCTATAGGGCGTGAAGCCTTTTGGGGAGGGCTACAGCAGTACGGATCAAGGGTTTAGGTCCGGGGGTGGGCATCGCGCGACTGCTGCACTGGCGCGCTCATGGGGATAGATCTGAAAGCGACATGGTTGTTTCGGACACACCCCGTCTGAGGTGCTGAGTTGAGTGCAGAGGTAACTGCTGGAGCTTGGCGTTGGTGTTTCTCTATCGCTCTGCATCGAGGGTGGTGTCGGATGCTTTTGCCTACGTGTAATTTAGACACACGCCACCCCATTTATCCCCGCCCTGGTTAATCAGTCTCTCCCCACGCTCCGGAACCACACGAGGCTGCGCGAAGAAGGAAGACACACAGACAGAAAGGTCACACCTTCACCGACCACGGTGTGGTGGCCGTACCAGACCAGCACGTGCATAGTACGTGGTCGTCGCTGCGCGTGCATGCATGTGTCATTCATCTATCCTCTTTCTGTCGCGGTCTGCCTCCCTCAGTTCCAGATCACGCAGTCTTCCCCCCCTCTATACATGTTGCTTCTTTCATACTATGAACGCCGCTCGCTCCACGTGCCCAACACATGCTCATTCTTGTGGCCTGAGTGTGTATAGGACAACTTGAGGCTGGTTCGGATGAAGGACGGCTTCGTGCGGCCGACCGATCCCGGCTACGGCACCGGCTTCCGCACCGGCTTCGCCGACGGCTTCCCCATTCTCCTGGCGGCGGAAGAATCCTTGGAAGAGCTCAACTCGAGAATAGCTGCGACGGGGGACGGCGAGCAGGCCGCCGTCGGTATGGACCGCTTTCGACCGAAGTAAGTGCGCACGAGAAATGTGTGCCCAGAATCTGAGAAGGTAGGTCCGTAAGGGTACAGTTGGCGCCCTTTTTCTGTGGCATGGTGTTCGGTCGAGCACCAAGTGGGGGCCGCGCGCTTACACGGCCAGTGGACGTGAGCCTACGCATACTTCGCCCCCAAAGGTTGTTTATGCTCTTGCTGCTGCCGCCGCGGCGAAGAGTATTTCGTTTTCGTTCTTTTTTACGCGTCTTTCGTGTGAGTGCACGTGCTTTATAGCTTGGTATCATAGCATGTGTTTTTCGCAGTTCCCCCGCTTTTGTGTAGGTGTTGGAAAGCCATGGTGCGCCAGTAGACTCTTGGCGTCCATCGTTCATTCCTCCCGGACATCGTATTTCACGATGTACTGTAGTTGGCGTGGTTCTTCCGCCACGAACGCGGTTCTAGGGACATAATCACACTGTTGTTTCGCTTCTATAATAGGAACATCATCACACTGCTGTGGTTGCACGTTTAGGAACACCAGTTCACCACTACAGTTACGGATTCGAACAATTGTTTTTCGTCGTCGACTCTCTCCCTGGGGCCACCAAAGTCTCGTTTCTCCTTCCTGATATCCTCTGCGTTGCATTGCTATCCTTCTCTCCTCTATTTCTTATCTTGTCCGCGTGCGCGCATGCCCGCCCTTCGCTGTCGGTATGTCCTGTGTCGTGGGCACTTACTTGCCGCACTATACAGCATCGTGGTGCGAGGGTGGGGCCCCTTTGCCGAGGACGACTGGACCAAGATCAGGGTCGGTAGGATCGGCATGCGCACCCCGAAGCCGTGCAGCCGGTGCCAGATACCCGGCATCAACCAGAGCACCCTCGAGGTTCGAAAAGAGCCCAAGCAGACTCTGGACACTTTCCGGTGCGAGTTTTGTTTCGCGCGAGTCGTTGCTGTACCTCTATCTCGTTTTTAGACCAGCTGGTGTTCCAGCGTGTGCGTTCTTCGGCCATGTTTTTGAAAACCTTCGGGGGCTAGGGAGACCTCTCTTCCGTCTGGGGGCTGCATTTTTCGCCTCTGCGTTGGCCGAACAGCCCTCCGGTTGCGCTAGTGCTGCCGTATTGCCACGACAACAGTCAGTAGTAAGGACTTATCTACCACCTTCGGGAATCTGTAGCATGAAAGTGTGCTGCAATAGCCCACAAGACTGCACGGCCCTGTTCGTAGTTTGCCGCTCATCCCCGCGGGTCCCGCATGGCTGTTCCTCCCGACAAAATGATATTACTCCTTCCACCGCCTTTTTCAGGGTCTGCAAACAATACGATGCCGCCCTTTCTGACTCCGCCCTGCCTCGATTCCCCGCCTTGTTTCCCCCGCGTGCCCCGCATCCGGGTTTTACCCCAAAACTGTTGTATTCGCTTTCTTTTTTCCCCATGCATGGCAATAAAAAAAAAGAACCGGGTCTCATGTTACCCAGTGGAACGAGAAGTGGTCGAAGGACGTTTTCTTCGGCATGAACGTGCTGCACGAGTCCGCGGGCGTGCTGCGCGTGGGCGACGACGTCGACGTCTTGAGAGCGGCGTCCAAGGCGAGCGCCAAGAAGACGCAGTAAATTGTAGGGGGGGGGGGACTAACCACCAGCAGCAGCGGTGCCCCCAAGCATCTCGAAGGAGGGCAGGCGTGCTGGGATGCTTTATGTACCGAGGAGGCGCCACGCAGTTTTCTGATTGGTCAATACGGTGCACAACTCTACAACAATTACTTGATGTTGGGAGGGCGGATGCGGTTTGGTAAGGAGGCGCGCGATCGGTTGGACCGCCGGTGCGGTGCCTTGTGACCAAGTCGTCGTAGCACAGGCCGTAAGCCCGGCGCCTCCCACATACCGTAGATAGGAGGCGTTATTAACAAGCGGTGCTGAGTTTCTTGAGGAGGGAAAAGTACGCACGGTTTTCAACCACGGTTTCGTCTGACCGACTACGAACTCAAGACCGGGCGTCATGTTTAAGCAAGCTGGCAGGAATTGCTCGTTGGTGCTCATGCGACTCAGTTCCATTGACAGCGGGAGTGTACCGAAACTCTCCAAAAAATCAAACATTTTCCCAGCTGCCACCCGGGTTCATGAATGTGGATTATGAAGGACTCCGGGTAGCATGTTGTTGCCGAGGAAAACATAGGTGGGTACAAGACCCCAAAATGTCGGCGGTATGTTAGTGTCCCCTCTCAACCGAGGACCGAACCGCCGATTGGCTCTAGGGGGGTGCGCGAAGAATGGACGTAATGAGACGGCGTGGCCCCTGATTGATCTTGGTGGGTGCGCGAGAATATTAACACTCTAGCTTTCCACACTACTCCATACCACTTTGGCAAGTATTGAATTTGATGAGAGAAGCCGGGCATTTCATAGTGGGGGGAAAAAAAAAGTGGGAAAAAATGGTGGGCAAGAGCCGTTGAGGGAGCCGTCGAGGGGCAACTTAGCGTCAAAGGAGAGCGAAGAGAGGCGCACTTGCCGACTCGATTCAGTCGTGCAGAGAAACGGCAAGGAATGATGAAACGACGAGGGCAGCATCGACCTTGTTATTGTAGAGGCGAATGAAAAGGGTTGGATTGAGGCAGCAGGGGATCCAGTTCTGCCGAAGCGAAGTTGAGGAGAACAAAATCTTGGAAACACGCACAAGTTGCAACAACCGCGACCCGCAAATAGACCAAACCGATAGAGACGGAGTGTCGAGAGGGAGCGGGAAGCGCGAAAAATGTTACTTCTACTACCAACATGTTCCTTGAATGGGTAAGTACAATGCATGACAGCAAAACTCCCACCCGTTTCACCTGAGTCACACCGGCTGATGACAAGAGAGAACCCTTGCCGCACTACATGACACAGGTGTCTGAATAGATAGCCAAACAAAAAAACAAAACACTGACATGGGGCTTGTTACCCTGCCGTAGGCACCTCGTCACTCGCGCAGGGGAAGAGGGAAAGCGGACTTTTTTTTTTATCTCCCGTTATTGGACTCTATCGTCTGCCCCTCTGGCCCCTATCCTCCACTTCTACCAGCTGGACGACCCAACCGGGGTCACATAGGAGGGGGGGGTTGGACCCCCCTCGGAGGTATGTCAAGGCGTGGCGCTTCCGGCCATCTTCCGACCACACACAAACTTACCGCTCCATGCTCGCCCAGAGTCAGTCCTTAACAACAAAAAAAGAGCACACAACGTTTCGACAAGGAACAGAGCAAACACCGCCGCAACAGGGCGCATATGCGCCCTCCACAACGAAAAGCTGTCACCTTTCACCGCTTTTCCCCACTCCCACGAAGAGCGGTCACAATGTAATTCACGTCCAAATCCCCCGGATTCTCCTTCCACCTGCCCGACACCGGGTTGTACATCAACCCGCACGTCTCCACGAGCTCTCCTGGAAACCCGTGTGCCTGCAGCATCGCCGTGAGGTCCTCTGGGGGGACAAACTTACGCCAATCGTGGGTCCCCACCGGCACGATGCCTGCCAGGTACTCGGCGCCCACGATCGCGAGCGCGAAGGACTGTGAAGTTGGGGGCGTTGGTGGGGGAAGTGGGAAGCGAACGGTAACGGTTTGTTGTCGTTGTCGTTCAAGCCAAAGCCTACGCGTGTTTCTCGACCTCCGTCAAAGTATCTCTTGTCTCGTACCCTTCCCACCGAGAAACAAGCCTACGGTCACACACTACCTCGAAAGGCACAAGTATGTTGTAGCAAGGACAGACTTCGACGCTACTGCTGGGTGACTCTTTAAGTACGACGTTCGCCTGAACAAGTAACTGTGAGGATGCTACCTCCCTCGGTGTTCATGTGAGAGAGGGGCGGTGAAAGTTTCCCAAACGGTAGTACCCCGAAACACGCATTAACGCCGCACCTTTCCGCAGCAAAAGCGGATGCAAAAAAGTCTGAAACACTTCTTAACAGAGACAAGACAATCGCGCCGCCCCAAATACGAGGTACCAGGCACACGAAGCAGCACGCGTTCACAGGTAGTGTGCTGAGGTGTGAGGAAAGTCATGATCAGGAGACCTACCTTAGCGGTTCGGTTGATCGTCGACATGGCCAGCATCCCCCCGGGCCGTGTCAGGCTTGCCAGGGACGACACGAAACCGGCGGGGTCTTCCACGTGCTCGATCACCTCCAGCGATGCAACCAGGTCGAACTGCTCTCCTGTATGTACGTGTTTCAGGGCAATTTGCGTTTGTCGACAGACACCTTTTTACTTCGCATCAACGGGTCGCCGTTGTCTTCAGACCAGCGATTCCGGGTTGGCAGCACGCCAAAAGCGCCTGAAACTCCTGTGACGCGCTCTATCTAAACGACACTCGGGCGTGCACATACACGACACACCGACATGAAAGCTCATAAAACCCGCCTCCAGCTGCTACTACACCCAAAAAGCGCGATCGAACGGGAGGGGGAAAAAACACGGCGACCACTGTAAAGCTAGCTTTTGACGGCGATATAGTACACGCCTGCTCAACCACAAGCATGGTCACGAAAGCTAGCCCCTGTTGTCTACTGGTTCCTACCAAAAGGATTGCTTAGGCCGGACCTTGAACCAAACAGAGAACCAAATCCATATTTCAGAGGAACCCTGCCCACCCGCATCAACAGATCAGGAACGCACCTCGATTCTCCAGCTCTTTTGCGGTCGTGGCCTCGTAGCGGATCGTCCGAGTCAGCGAATCGCCTTGGGCGTGCGCAGATGCCACGGCCACGTTCTCTGGCGACGGGTCTACCCCTATCACCTCTGCCCCAAGCCGCGCCAAAGACTGTTTCGAGGTGGAGAGAAAAAAAGAGCGCGCGCAAAGGCAGACGAGACGGAGAGGGAATAGGAAGAGGAGGAGCGTTGCTCGCGCTTCGTCAACTCGCCGCGTGAAGTGAGGAGTTGGTGTCGCCCACGTAAGTAGCCCTTGCATATGAACTGGCGGCGAAGAGGTGACCGGAGCAATCACGTCTTGGGGATCACACTGGCGAATGATTTTCTACGCCATCCCATCGATAAGAATAAATCACGTGCTGACGCCAAGCAAATAAGCCCTTGTACTGAAGGTTCTAACCACAAAAGGTGGCGCCGTCTACCAGTTTTCGTAAGTACAATACAGCAGGGCCATTACGTGTGCCGGAGTCGTGCGGCAATGAACTACGTTGGACAATCGTTCAAAGAGATCGTTGCAAGATGTCAGCCAACCTGCTATAGAACACGTGGAACCCCCCTTCCCCCCCCACCCCGGTCGTCGAAAACCGAGCGACACTAACGAATTCGCACCAATGTTTGAAAACCAGGGAACCTTGCGGACATACATAACTCACCTCACTAAACCAGCCAACTACACGTCTGCACGTCTGGGGGAAAAACTCGTGGGCGGGCGACCTGTTATCGCCTCGCAAACCCACCAGGCACACGCTACACTACGCACACCTCGCTCAGCAGCCCCCCGCCGCACCCGACGTCCAGAGCACGGAGCCCCGCTAGCGGCGTCGCAGACCCCCTGAGCGGCGAAGCCTCGGGCAGCGACAAACCCACCTGCCTGTTCCGTTTCCATGGTCAGCAGTACACACGAGAGAGTTCAGCAGCACACCCGACTCCAAGAGCGGGAGGCGGAGGGACATCGCGCGCGAGAACAGATAGCAACACCGGCAAGGGCCGATCATGGTTTTGCGACACAATGGTCGAGCGAGGTCCCGCATGTAAACGAAGGTGGGGAGGTGGTGGCGCCACCGGGCCACAATACGGTGCGCGCGGATACGGGATGGTCGGCGCGAGGAAATGTGGTGGAGTACGGTAACCCCGGACGGGAAGATGGGAAAATGGGACCCGTGGTAATATCCGAGAAAAAGAAGATGATTGGTGGTCGCGTTTTGTCCCGTGCCACTCTGGAAGTTCAAGTCTGTGTTCCGACGAGGTCGAAAAGCGTGTCGAAAATCCTGTGTAGTTTACCTTAACCCAGGCTCTTCTGCTGCCTGCCTCGCAGTTCGTAAGGAAGTTGCTACAGAATCAACGCCCGTCTTGAAACTCAAGGTATTCCAGGGAAACCCGCCCGTCAGTTCTGTAGCCGTTCTGTTGTACGCTGAGCTGTGCGTACCTGACAATGTACTGCACGCGCGTCACGTTCATGGAGTGCAGTGGCCCCGCTCCTTGCCTGGAAGCCGGATTCCACCACTCCCTGCGTAACGTCAAGGTCACGAATAGACGTGAGAGACGAGGAGATGGCAACATCAAGGTACAGCGATACGGGTGACGGCGTTCGGGAGATGCGCTGCACCATCTTGGGGAAAGGGCATTGGGATGGCGCTATTGTCAGAAGGCGACCGACAGGTGGTTCACGGATTCGGCCCGGCGGCGCACCACAGATCGTTCACGAACCAGCCGCTGTGAACCCTTGACCCCTCTGGGGCTGCCCTTCTTCACCTTCCCGCCGGACTGCGCTGTCAAAATATTCCATTTCCGTTTGTCCATAAAAACAGTGCCAGAAAGCGAGACGTACGGACAGATGGACCGGGCAGGGAGTTATCCAGAGGCGGTACCAACAGCCCGCGACAGGTTGATGGAGTCGCTTATGTTTCGTTAGGGTTCCACCGAGTTGTTGTGCTGTCGTTCGGCGCACGACCCTTGATGGTTCATGCCTTCCACCAGTCTTTTTCGAGGTATTCCCAAATCTTTACTCGCAAAACGGTCACTAAGCGTTGCTTCATGCCCCCCGGGGACAAGATGAACAGCCGGTTGCCGTTCGGGCTACCTTTTAGAGCTCCTGAGAGATGCGCACGTCAACATGACATACCACGCCGGGGCAGCAACCCGGCGTCTGCTCCTGCTGCTGTGTGTAGCGTGCTTCCAGCAGTAGTGTGCCGTTATCACGTGGGGCGTGTGTGAAAGCAAACGAGCGTGATGGGCAGATACTGCTGTGAGAAGCAACTGAGCAGCAGTAACATGTTTGGCCATATCGCACGCGTATCACCCACCACCCGCTCTTAAGACTACGGTTTGGCGCACTGTCTACGCGACAAGCACTGGAATGCAAACAAAAAACACAATTCAACATACGACCCATCACTACCACTTTCAGTAAAAACACACGGAGTCGAAGCAAGGTTAAAGTACAGTCTGCACTTCATCCGGGATGCAGCGTGACCACAGGAGCTTAGCCGCAGTCTGTAGGGCAGTTCTACGCGGGAACAAGGAAACATGTACGATTGAGCACATGGCGTGCGCTGCCGCTACACCACTCAATCGAATGACATGGTTGACAGTTTAGACACATGCGAATCTTCGCACTTTGTACTCCCCACAGAAGGGCTACTGCTGCTGACTGTGGCACGCACCACCTTCTCCTCACTATCCTGGATCAACCTCTGGTAAATAGTATGCACACGCATACTACAGCGGTACAGCAGTACAACAGCGGTGCTCTTCAGCTCACTTCTCAAGGTGGCGAAATTTCTCGAGCTCGTCGTCGCTGACATTGGCCCTGCTGTGCCGTGATTCTCTTATTCCTTGTGTTCCTTCTTGTCCTGTTCCCGCTTTATCTCGGGCTAGCCCTGCTCCTGCTTGAGTCGAGTGTGCCGAGGGAGTGTTGCTGTAGGGGAAGCTTGGTGTGTGCCGAGTTTGTTGCAGCGCCGCCCATGGACGTAGCTTCCGAGGACGGCTGCATCGCCACAACAGCCGGTGCATAGCAGAGCGCAAGAAAATAACACAACCTTTCCCTGGTTTTCTCCAACGGCGGCAAGCACTTTCTCAGTCTACCGGGCTGTGTGGGTTATTGGCTGTGGCCTCCGCTCTGGGGGGCGCTTTTCAGTTTTCAGTGCAGTTTTCTGTTAGACAGAAGTTCGAGACTTCCCGAAGCGACACCGGTCATTCCGCGCACGACGTCAAACAACCTTCATACCCCTCAATGATACCCCGATACCCAGAGTTCTCCTGGTTCCTTGTTCCCGCCCTCCCCACACTTTCGTCCAGTCCACGGTCGTGAGCTCAGCATGAAGGTAGTGTGCAACGGGTTGTTGTTTTTGATCTGGCAAGCGCCTAGTGTTCGCATCCATGGAGCAGGTAGCGTATGTCGTGCGTGGCGGTTACTGCTTTGTGATGATAGACTAGACGCACCCTCATGTTACACCGCCGTTTTTGTACACTTGATCGACTTCTTAAGTCGCGAGGGAAGAGATTGCTGTATCCTTCTCGCGATAAAAATATCCCAGGCAGGAACCGCAGGCAGGGGTCCAACCCCTCCCTCCTATGTGACCCCGGTTGGGTCGTCTAGCTGGTAGAAGTGGAGGATAGGGGCCAGAGGGGCAGACGACAGAGTCCAATGATGGGAGATAAACAAAAAAAATAACAGCAGTGGTTGGTGATTCGTCTACAGGGTGTGAAACAGGTTCTCGTGTCCCGTCGCTATTCGCGCTCTTTCTGTCTGGTGTGCTGATTTACTCCTGAGCCACCGACGATAACCTTTCCTGGGGGCTAGTGGCATGGAAGACTTGAGCAATGCACGAGCGTGTACTTTCAATCGGGGGCAAGTCGGCTTATACAGTAATACAAGAGCCGAAATTGCACCTGCTTCTTCCAGGAAAAGCCCACGCGAAGTAGAGGTTCCCGGCGGAAATCGTCCCGCACACATCACGTCAATTTTAGTTAGCATCCACAACGGCTGGTGACTGCAACGACCTCTCAACAGCAACATGTACGAGCCCGAAGACTGCTGCTCCTCCTCTCTCAAGCTTAACACGCGCACATGATTAGACTAATGATGACAAGGTTCGGTCCGCCAAACAAACTGACCATGAGGTTCGGTCACCCACCCAAAAGTTTATTCCCTTGTCCCTCACACCTGGTGCTGGGAAAGTGTGGGCTAGCGCAAAGGTTTGTTGGTTTCGCGCCCCTCGGAGTAATTGCACAGGGTGGGTCCAAACCGAAAAAACGACATACCGTAGGTAACACAATATACCACCCCCCCCTCTGGATCGATTTCCAAAGCTCTGTTTCTCCACAGCTCAAGTATGCACCGCTTCTGTAACGGCGGTGCCGCACATGGCGGTGTTGGAGCCGTCTCGTCAAGAGCTTTCCGGAAACGTATCGTGTACGTATACATCCTCTTCGTCGTGGAAAACTACTGTAGTCGAGCTTTGAAAAAAGCCCTGGAGGGTGTGGGGTCTTACGTCACCTACGGTAATTTAATGGATGTTTGTCGGTTTCTGCACCAGAATCGCACCAGCTCAAGGCTCATTTTTGAGCGGAAACTGATGCTGCAGTTGGCACACTCTACCTGTTCATTGGTCTCGTGCAGCAATATTGAGCAAAATTCAAAGAACTTTTCTTTTCACCTAGTTTAGAGTGCCCCCCAGTGTGAGGGATATTTGTTATGGGCATCCTTGGGGCGCCACGGCCGTCGCACACACAAATGTTGCAAACCCCAACATGTACGTCGCCTACACGTCGCACACACAAATGTCCTGAAATTTTCAACTAGCTTGGGCCGCCCAAACCCCGACGTGTACGTTCGTAGTATGTACTTTGGATTTACCGAACTGTTTTACTAATTTCAACACGTCTCACCCACAAATGTCCTGCAATTTTTCAACTTGTTGGGCCGACCAAACCCCGACATATGCGTTGTGTATGCATTTCGGATTTGCCCACATTATTGTACACCTCCATTTCACATCAGCACGGTTGCCCGATGCAAGCTGCGATACATTTTGTTACGGGCATCCTTGGGGCGCCACTCCTTTTCCGTTTTTCACCACCGCGGTGCATCCGTACGAATAAGTCAAGTTGGGTTTTTTCACCGTCGTCGCGGTGCATCCGTAGGAATGAGTCAAATTGTATTCTTTTGCGGTACGTTCGTAAATTGTTATTCACCCAACCAAGCATTTCCGAGACGCTCTTGACCTGGCAAAATGGGCGCGAGTGTGGCCACGGTTCTGGGTGCGCCGAGCACCCACATCTGTACGATTTTTTTTTTATCATTCCGCTGCCTTCTGTCATGATATCGTTGTTTCGCCGCGTTTTCCATTTCGCTGCCGACACCTACCTGCATAGGCGGTGTGTCGTGTATGCTTTGCTACGTATGGTCGCTGTGGTGGCATTCAGTATCGCACCTATCGGGGTCATCTAACCGGGGATACATGTATGAAAAGAAGCGCGGGGCGAGAGGAAAGTGGCTGTGTTATGCTTCTTCAGCTATCACGCCGGGAGTGCGTTGGAAACGCTGGGACGAAAATAGCTACTAAATCGTTTCCCGCACCGGGGTCAACGTTGTCGCGGGATACGGGAGGTGCGACAACAAACACAAGAAGCAAACCTCCGGCCCGTTATTATGGCAATCTGATATTATTGCCAAGGCGGATTATTTTGGGGACTGCAAGAGCCCGTATACGAGTTCGCATACCAGCGAGGATCACCACAGCTACAATAAATCATCTGTACCGGCTGCAAGATCTCCGGTTAAATTCTGAACGGAGCAGCGCACCAAGAATCTTGCCCGAACCTCTGCCCGTATCCACAACTTTATTTATAAAGAACAACACGTTGCCGACCAAGGAGGAGAGATAGACTCACGACGTGCAGCCGCCTCTCGTGGCCAGCTAAGCTTTTCGTGTCGAGCTCAAAAGTGGTGTTCCGTTTGTGCCCCGCGTGAAATCGGCACCCGCGCAACAGGTGAAAGTCCTCTTCTTTGCGTCATGCCGAGAGATGGCGGGGACCAAGGAGACCTCTCTCGAGCTGCCCGGAGACAGCTCTTCGATCGCCCAGCTCAGGGAACACATCGTGAAGAAGCTGCCGGGCCTCCAGCCCGTGGCCGCCACAGTGACTCTGGCCCTGAACCAGGAGTACCTAGACCCCGAACAAGATGCCCCCCTCAAGGAAGGCGACGAGGTAGCCTTCATTCCACCCATCAGCGGAGGGTGAGCTTGCCTTCTTCCCGCCCATGGGCTCTTCCGTGGTAGGACGCGGAGGCACCATGCAGATCGCGTTAGTAGCGCTCTTGGTTCGGAGGGGCGTTCGCGATCCGGCGGGGGGGGAAAGAGATCCATGACTTCCCGGCCACTATCAGCGAGGGGCATATATGTTCGATTGTCCTTGTAGACACCTGCCAGAACTAGAAGTGCTGCGCACGCTCGAAGTAGTACTGCGAAATTCTTCCCACACCACCGTTAAACAGGTTTTAGTTCCGGCTGCTGTTTTAGCAGGGGGGCGCCGGGGGTGGTTCAAAGCGATTCTCAGTTGGCGGCGGCTCTGATACCATCCCGTCGTTTTTGGCGAGGGGTGGAAGTTTTTAACACATTTGTCTCATACGACTGTATATAGAACATCGGAAATTCACCTGTGTTCGGCTTGGTGTAGCGATGGTTGGTGTGCAACTCTTCTGGATGATGGTGAGTTCTTTGTTCGTGTGCTGTAAAAACTGGTTTGGCTGCTGCTTGAATTTTGGTTGGCCCATGGAGATGAGGTTCTTGCTCATAAATGTGGCGAGCGGATATTTTTGCGCGTTTCCCGTTGTCGGTGTGCGTATGTGTTGATTCAGGCGCCCATTCATGTTTAGTTTTTGTGAGATAAACGGGGATTCCGATAGTGTATTCGTCATTGCACGACGCGTTTCATGTGTGATTTCAGGAAAGAGTCATGTAAGTACTGATTGGGACTTCAAGTGTTGCTGCTGCTAGAGATAGAGTGGGAGGCAGACAGGATGTGGCTAAACGTTGGTAGGATTTTGCCTGCTTTCAGGCGCAATGACCTCGAGAGCCAAATATCCTGTCGGCTGCTATGCTTTCGCCCCGCTGCTGCTCTTCCTCTTGTATCCACAGCATAAGTTGCGGCAAGCAAACGGAAGAGATATGTGCGAGCAAGATTGCATTAGATTTTCCATTTTGACTCCTTGGGCTATGCATGTTTGCCAGTCCTTTGCATTATTGCAGCACTTAAGTAGTATCGGAGCTTGGCATGTCCGCCACAGAAACGCAGAAGTTTCATGAAGCAGTAAAGTTTTTTTTAAGCCCACCATGACACGCAGTTGGAGAAAATGCGCGGTTTCGCGTCATCATCACGCCACACGAACACTGCGAAGGTGACAAGCTGCTGCCCGCATGACGGCGAACCCAATTACGCGTGGGTCAACTACGCCGCGCGGATGTTGGCGGTACTAGCGCGGGCAACTCGTCACAAATTGCGTGAAGCCCGTGAAAAGTTTAGCCTAACCTCATCTTACCTTCGAGGTTCCTGAGTCGCGTAAAGGTGCGCTCTCAGCACCCGCGGTTGGGGGGAGCTTCGGATATCATCTTGTTGTTTTCGCCCGTCCACATGGCGTCTTGGCAAGACCGCGCGGTCTTTTGGCTCGCGAACAATCACGTAGAGAACTCCCAGCATCTAGTCTACTTTAGGTTCGGGAAAAGTAGGGGGGGGGGCACAGGGCGTGCATGCACACGCCATTTCTATGTATGTACATATTCTACAACCACACAAACTGCCGAGCAACAAAGCCCTTCTTGCTGACTCGAATCCTTCATACAGCTTTTCCCCCGCTTATTTTCCGTCCACGGCCCTCTTCCTTTGACGCCCAAACATCTACGTCGCTGAGAGCGGTTCGTAAAGAACGTCCGGGACGGGGTCAACAAACCCAGAGTGCTCGCTCTCGACGACCGTGTGGCTGCTCTTACCTCCAGCAGCGGTTGTGGAACATACTGTCTTTACAAATCATTATACGGCCGTACAAGCCTTCGAAGCCACATTGGGCTCTAGGTAGTGCAAGACGCCCATGCTCCAGGCTAGTAGGACTGGCCTGTCGACCCAACAAAAACGACACAAATGAACAGCCACCACGCCATAATTATGCATAGTTGAAGCCGCTGAGCTCTTCCAGCACCCCCCACAGCCGCCGGCACGCCTCTTCGTCTTCCGCCGGTGGGGGCGGGGTGGTCACCCTGCGGCTGACGTAGTACTCGCCGGAGCTGTCGCTCACGTCGTCACTCGTCGCCAGATAGAACTGGTCGTTCGCGCTGGAACAACGTGGTAAGTCACGCGAGAGAATAGACAAGAGTGGAGGCAGGAAGAAACATATTAAGGGAGGAAGAGAACAAAGAAAGAGAGGGGGGGGGAGAGAGAGGAGGGAGAGGGACAGAGAGAGAGAGCATTAGAGGCTGTACAGAAGATACCCGCGGGTGAAATGGATTGTTCTCCGTACCAAGCACCGGACGGGATTCCCGACAATAGCAGGTTAAGCGTTCGTTGTACCGGATGCCCCCCCCTCCCCCTCACCTCTGGTCTGCACATGGGGAAACAAGAGCATCGCCCTCAAAAGATGTTGGCGAGGATGTTACTCTCTTATTTGAAGGTCATACCTATCCACATAAGACATTTCTCAATGCAGGGCGTCTATTCCGAGAAAACCGTTCACCTCTTCACAGGGATGCCGCCCATTCCCCACCCAGCCCTCAACATCTTGGTGTTTACTGTGCCGGGGTCGAGTGAGTTGCACGTGACTCCCTTCGGCGCTCTCCGGGCGAGCTCCGCGTTGAACATGATGTCCAGCAGCTTCGACAGAGAGTAGGAGGCGTGGTCGCTGTAGCCGCCCTTTTCGAACTGCGGGATACCACGGGGTGTACGCAAACCGCACGCGGCGTGTCGTCGGATTAGTCACGAACCACTACTTTTCGAAGCGATCATTCTGCTTGTACACAGCACGCACAGAAGGGGGTAAGCGCTACCAAACAGTGGTCGTGGTGGTGCTTGCGGTGATACATAGTGAAATAGAACGGGGGCAACGCGGACTGTAAGACGGGTGATAGGGCTAAGAGTTGCTACGCCGCACATCACATCGAGCGGCCCACATCTCCGGTCCCGGCGTTGTCGTGAACGTTGGCTCGGGTTCGAAAGAGACGGCAAGCGGGGCTCAAGCGAAGTGACGGGATCGAACGTAACGAGCCAACCGCGTGAGCATCTGCTAATCATAAACAAAGCCTAACGTATGTGAAGTGAGGGCATCGTCCTCGACGGATGTTGGCGAGATTGTTCCTCTCATGCTATGTGTACTTACACCCGCACCCCCCAAGGGTCGAGTCTGAAACGTCCGATCTCTTCGATCTCCAAGATACCGCCACCAAACATTCCACCCAGGTTGTGCTCAATAAGCCACGTGAGCTGGCCGGAATGCGATTGGTCTCCCCACCTGAAGATTGTCGAAGTCCAGCGAGTAGGACGCGGACAGGCTCGCCACGTTCACTACGCGACCGCCACCGGGTGCCTTGGCGAGTAAGTCCAGCAGACGGCCGGTGATGACGTACGGTGCGAGCACGTTCACTGGTCACCGAACGGGGAGAGGACGGTGTTGACAAATAAACAACAGGAGAGTGGGACCTTCAAAACTACGCGGTGGGTTAAAACCGGAGGTCACATGGAGCTTTCGCTATAGTGGCGCGGAGAGGGGTGTGCAGGTAGCCAGGAAGATAGGACTATCGAAGCCGAGGGTAGGGATGTTTGGGGAGGTTCTCGACCGAAAAATGAAAACTTGTTCGCACAGGGTTGAATCAACACAAGGGCCATATGCGCTAATGGTAGCACCAGCTCGGTACATCGTCGCGTTCAATCTTGCCATGGGCACACACCTGCCCCGGGGGACGCAATCCTTTACCTGCAAAGGTGTACTCCAGTCCGTCGTCGCTGTGCCGAAAGTCAGCCTCGAAAACGCCTGCCCGAGCGAGAGAGTGGGCGAACGATTAAAACAACGCAAGAAGGCGAAAAAGGTGGGGGAAGCAACATGTAGAGTGTAGTTCCGCTCAGTGAAAGGCTTGAGTACGACGCCGGAAAAACAACACGGGGCCTTGTGAATCAAGGGTCATTGGAGGTGGGTATTCCACCCGCAAGCTCGAAATCGCCACACGTAAGACACCCGTCCTGCTGTACTATCATGCAGTTACATGTAGCCTAGCAGGTTCGCTCCAGTGGACAAGTGCGACCTTCGAAGCTGTTGAACTGGTAGAAAATAACTCCGCTTACCTGCGTTGTTGAGGAGGCAGTCTAGCCTGTCCGTCCGACGCAGAACCTCATCGCACAGGTGGTTCGCCCCTCGCAGCGAGCTCAAGTCGGCCACGATCCCCTCCACCTTTCCTTTTCCTCCTCCGACGTGCTCGACGGCCTCTCTTACGGCGGCTTCTCGCCTGCCGTGGACCAGCACCGTCGCGCCCTCCTCGGCGAGGCGCGAGGCCGTGTGCCTGCGATTTTTCGTAACCCGGGCAGCACGCAGCAAGAGACCGAATTGGCACGCGGAATATACTGCTACTGCCCTACCACAACAGTACTGTGGTAAACGCCCGCAGTAGGTTTGGCCGAAGCAATGTAGGATTCTTCGTTCCTAGAAGGTTAGTTATTATTATAAAGGCCGTACATATAGATAAATTCATAATTATCAAGTTTTTACGTGCGGGCGCTGATGGTTCTGCTGTACCTTGGAGCTGCTGTTGTTGTTGTCGGGGAGCAACCGCGCGCATCATCAAGGGTCTCCACAGACAAATCGGTTGGCTGTTCTTATCGGACAGCAGTTGGTATCCGTAGGGCTAGACGCGAAGCGAAGCTCGCATGCCGCGTACACAACCGCAACGCGCTTGCTTTTTCCTCGTCCATTTCATGGATCTTCATTTTTTCAACATACATCGGAAGCTACACTTCATTTTTTTTAATCTTTTCTTTTTTCTTCACTTCAAATCAGCGCTCACAGCACTGGTGCCGTTTACTCCAACCCGTGGTCACACAGAAGAGCCCCTCTCTACCCTCCCCTCCTGCGGTACTTTGCCTTCGATTTTTAGTGCGAGAGGAGTTCAGCACTCTCTTCCCTCTGTGTACACACGAACCAGCGCTATCCACGAGGCCAGGAGCGGAAGCGAGAGAAAAACTCACTTTGCAAGAAAAGCTCGCTTGCGCCGGGATTCGAACCCCTGACCTGACCTCTAAAAGGTTTCGAGGTTACCAACTTGACCATCGGGGCGACCGGCACACTGCTGCTGCCCGACTGGGTCCGATGGTGTGAATCATGCGGCATCATATTTTGTAGAGCTGTAGAGCCCCCGTTCGGGAAAGTCAGAATGGAAACATCGTTCATGTGGGACCGCAAACTGCTCTTGCACAATCACTCACTTCCCGATGCCATCAGTCGACCCCGTCACAAGATAAACCTTGTCGGCCAGTCTCCTGCGTTGGGGGGAAACGAGTACATATCCGCCGAACCAGACAAAGACGTCGAAGAGGGGGGCGCCGTCATCATGTGCCACTTCTATGCGCATGGGGGAGATCGCTGTTATCATGTTTCACACTTCATCCTTCTTGTGGCATCCCTGTGTCTCGCTACGATTGGTGCGCCTTCCCATCTGCTACTAGCGCCCCTTCAGCACTATCTTCACGCCCACCCCATCCTCTCGCTCCTTGCTACTATCCCACGAGTAAACGGTAGCATGCACAGACGACCCAACTCGGCAGTCATCGTTGTACTTACCCAGTGACAGCGGCGGACATTTTTGTTGTTCGTCCGACATCGAGCGAGGACAACGATCTCCTCGTACATAAGAACGCGCTGCACAAGGTTGGACACACCAACACGAGAGACAGCATTCGGCCCTTGGATGATGGCATGTTATGTCGTCCCTCTGTCCCCTATTCTCTGTCCTGTCCTGGGAACAAGCAAATCATCCCGCATATCTGGGGGGCGCGCAGAAGAAACTAACCAGTGGCGATGCCGCCGGTGCCATTGGCCGGGCAGCCGCGAACATGCGTGGAACACACTTCACATGGCTACGACTGCTGTCGCCAAATATACTGCTGTGCACTGGACTGTGTGTGCGCATAGTGCATTACCTGCACACACCTTTCCCCGGTCGGATTTTTTTGTGCCTACTTTTGAGTAGGCACTGGCGGAGGAGGCGCTCTGTGCTGAGACGAGAGCTCGAGAAATTGGTCGTTGGTCTCATTCATTGGAAAAGCAACCCGACCAGCAGCAGCATATCTAGGAAGTCATGGCGGCTCCACCTAGAGACGACGGCGGCAATCAAGAGTCCGCTGCAGAAAAAAATATGAGGGCAGCCGGAGTGAGCTTAGGGATCAGCCGGCACCTAGGGCGCACCGATGTGGTCGAGTTTAGTAGCGGCAGCAGTAGCGGCAGCAGTAGCGGCAGCAGTAGCGGCGGGAGCGACTACAGCAGCGATAGCTTAGACACGACGTCGTTGTCAACGGCAGCAACGGCGCAGGAGAACCAACGTACGGCGGCAGCGAAAGAAGAAGGAGCAGCAGCGCCTCCACCGCCACCAGGTATGTCCCATGCCTGAGCAGGAGGTCCTTTTGTCGCAATGCTCTTAGTTAGGCCTGTAGTACACGTTCCACTTCTCAGCAGCAAACCTCTGCTGGTGTTGTTGTGTAGACACAACGCCGCTCGCTTGCTCCCGCCCGAGAATGCCGCTCGATTAACCAATCTGTGGGAGCTACTGCGCTGCCGTTGCGCGAGGATCAGTCGACGCCCAGGTAGGTCGTACAACTCTTCGAGTCCATCGCGAATACACGCTGGACCTTCCTGCAGGCATAGACTGCTGTGCATTGGAATTGTTGAAGTATTTTGCTTCACATCCGCAAGAGCAGAAAATCGCAAACAAACCACCACCGTGCCGTATAAAGGTGTCGTCGGTAATTTGGGCACCTTTCTCACGTTCTTTCCCTGCTGCTGTGTGGTTGTTGGAACCGAAGAAAGAGGGACGAGAAAATTCTCGCGCGGGTGGTTGTCGTGCAAACCTATGCATACGCCGATGTGGACGTGTGGTCAACCTCTTTTTTCCCCTTTTCCTTCTTTCCAGAGACCCGCCCGCTTCTCGTGTTCTTCACGTTAATTTAGGAAGTAGACATCACATCACAGAAAGCGTTTATTCTCGAGCCGTCCGCACTTCCCTCCGATCCGAGCCCTCTGAGGAAGAAACCCACAACTCTATGTGCATCTCCGGCACGTTGCCATCTCCACAGCCACAGACCAGATACACGTACCTTCACCCATCCTACACACACGAACTGGCAACTAGATATGTAACCTTACTTTGACAGACTATAAATAATACGGTCTTCGTCCTATCACTGTACATACATACTTCTATTTTTTTTTGTACGATCTCAGCATATTTGGCAAACTGCACGCACATACTCCAAGCATGCGTATGCGCAAGTTCCGTGATCTTCTCTACGAGGGTGCAACAAGATAACACATCCAAGAATCTAGCATCTCCACCTTCCCAGCATAGAACGTATAGTCCGATGCACAAGATGGCCACCATACTATCGTGCAGAGCCTGTTGCCCACAGGGGAGATGTACAGCAGTTGCTTCTTGGGGAGTCGCACAAAAACACAGGCAGTGGTCCGCGAACGGTGTGAATCCGTTGCTACAACAATCCTAGACCCTGATCTATGGATCTATGAATACAAATGGATCTGTTGTGCTTGCTGGAAGAGTAAAAAGAATAAGCTTCTGTTCCTTCTCGAGATTGAGAAACTATTTAGGTTCGTCGTCAATACGAGGGGCCGAGGGGTTCGGTCGGGAGTATCGAGTAACCAACAAACGGCGATTCGCGGAAAATCGACTCGCGGACTGCTCGTTTGTTGTCATTTCTGCTCATCGCAAAAACATGTTCTCTGTAGCGATTCCCTCGAGCTGCGCGTGGGCGTTTGCATCAATGTCTTCCGCAGGAGGGGATAAGAGCAAGCGGAGCACCAGCACCAGCAGCGGCGGCGGCGTGAGTGCAATAGCGGCGCGACGGGGAGAGCTCTTCGTAGAGCCGGAGTGGCAGCGAGCTGCGGGCAGATGGCCGAGGTTCGAGGAAAGCCTCCTGACGGAGATGAAGGCCGAGCTGCAAGACGACCTCAAGGCGGCGCCGCCGTTTCCGGAGGTCGTTGGTACTAGACGCATGCTTCGATTTCTGAGGTGCGACGGCGAAAGAACGCTGCTGCCATCGAAAGCAGCAAGGTGCTCATATACTACCACTGGCCGTTCGCGAGACACTTTGGTTTTAGGGCGCGCGTAGCTCCCCCCCCCCGTCCTCGCCTACACGTCGTACGCATGTACCGCTGTTTACTGGGCCGTCTATGTCTTGTTCCATGGTTCTAGTCCTCCTGATCGTCATGCTTTCTGAGCATGTACATACGTCCCTTCGTAGGTGCTGCTCGATCGAAGTGTTAGTGATATGTTTTTGCCCACCCCTGGCGCAAACACACGGACAGGGGGCACGACCACGACGCGGCCAAGGCCGCGGCAATGATGCGGCGGATGCTGCAGTGGCGCAAAGACAACGGCGTCGACGACATCCGCGAGGACATCATGCAGAACAAGAAGTTCGACCCCAGGTATACAGACGGCAATGATCTTGCGTCTTGGGGGTACGGCGTGACAAGAGAAAAACACGGAGGTTTGTTTACAGGTGCCGACAGGATAGGCGGCTCAAGACTGACATATATCTGACCGCAGCAGTCGCGTCTACTGCGCCTCCTTCGGGAGGTCCGAACACTTAGCCTTCGGTGCCCTGTGGTGGTGTGTATGACTCATGTTGACTCATGTTGTCTGAGGTCTCCGTTTGACGCATGTTCATCTGAGTCTCCGTTTGACGCGTCTCCCTTGCGTTTCTCGTGTTTCTGTCCGATTTATTTTTCCCCCGGGGTGGGGCTGGCTGGAGCCAGCCTGTTTCCAGACGGCGAGATGATCACGAAGCTGTTCCCGCTGCTCGTGGCGAGCCCACTGTGCGTCGACATGGACGGAGCTCCGATCTCGTACGAGTCTTACGAGTTCAGTCCGAGGCAGGCGAGTTACAGCAAGTGGTGCACGATATCCAATCAATCAAACACGGTGTTTCGAGCGTGTTTGAGATGTTTGGCCGCAACAGCTGCACAAGCAGCAGAAGTTTAGTAGCACGCGCAGAGCGTTTCTCTTTTTCGTTTTAAGGTACACTCTGACAGGAGGAGGAGCTGCCCAAGGGAAAAAGTGTTGCTGCCGTGCTACCTTGTCCGCCCACAGTAGCCAGCCGCACCCAGAACACACCTTAGCCTCCCCCATCACGGGTTCCCAGATTTTGGCATTCAGAAGCATTTTCTGTTTTCAGCCGCACTTGAGACTGACATATGTTCATTGATCAGCCGGTTAGCACTGTCGATGCCTATCTTACAATTTGCACGCATACGCCTTAGCTTCGCCAATAGCTCCCCCTCCCTTCACGGGGTCCCAGGTCGTGGCCTTCAGAAGCACATTCTGTTTTCCGCCGCACGTGAGACTGACGTCTTTGCATTGCCCAGCCGGATAGCGCGGTCGATGCTAATAATTGAATCTCACACACCTTAGCCTCTCCCATGACCCCCCCTCACGGGGTCCCGGACCATGGCCTTAAGAAGCCATTTCTGTTTTCAGCCGCACTTGAGACTGGCGTCTTTTCATTGGTCAGCCGGTCAGCGTGGTTGTTGCTAATGTTATTACAAGCAAACACATACTCCACACCTGCCGTTCCCTCCGGTGTCGTCTAACGCGTACGGCTGTCCGGCGCAGGTGACCGCGCACGCGAACGGCGACCTCGGTTTCTTCATCAAGTTTCACATCTACTGCCAAGAGTTCAAGCAGGTGAGCTCGAAGGGAAGCCGGTGGTGTTCCTCCTTACCCTTGTCGGTGGTGGTCTTGGTGGTGTTGGTTGTGGTCGCATTGTTTGAAGCGGGCTCAAAACAAGTCAAGACACGGCAAACAAGTCAAGACACGACCGCCGCAGCCTTGCACCCGCCCCCGTCCCGTGCTATTTTCGAGCGCTCTACCAGAGGGCCGGGCATTTCCGTCGACCGTAGAAGGATCCACCGCTGTAGCGGCTCGTTGACCAGCACAACCAACCAACCAATCACCGCTCTCCTGTCAGCATTCACAACCGTCCGACCAATCACCGCTCTTGCCAGATATGCCTGGACAGCCTGTCAGACGCCAAGGAGATGGAAAACCTCGCGAGGAGGGCCAAGCGCGCCTCGTCGCCCTCGCGGCCGCCGACGGAGTCGACGGCGACCGGCCCTCGTGTCCCCGCCATCGGCGGCGGCCGCAGCGGTGGCGGCGGCGGAACCACGGGAGGAGAAGGGCGGGACACGGGGGCGGGTAGAGGTATGCGGGGGAACGCCAGCACCATCGGCAGAGGAGGCCTTCCTCTACCCGAAAGTGAAGACAAAGGGGGCACGGTTCCGCCAGAGTCGGAGGGGCGAGGCGTGGAGAGTGAGAAGGAGGGGGAGGAGCCGTGGGGGGTCGTGCTTCGAAACACGATCATCAGGGACTTGTCGGGGTTCGGTATGGAGCACGCCGGGACGATCGGGAGGTCGCTCATCTCGCAGGTGTTGGCCGTCAGCCAGGACAACTATCCTGAGATGGTGAGAGAGGCAGGGAGAGAGAGAGCGACAGACAGAGACAGAGAGACAGAGAGAGACAGAGACAGAGACAGAGAGAGAGGGGGGGGGGGGGGGG